CAGGACATTAGAATTCCGAACGCCTGCTGCCTCAGCTGACACAGCACTTCATTTGGCCTTGTAAAAGACTCTTTTCCCAACGGTGTTCAGATGGCTGGCATTGAAGTTGTTTCTCCATAGCGGCCTGCCCAGGGACAGAACAGGTGTGTTGCTAACCCACAAGGCCTTTGGTGCAAACGTCTTCCCTGCTAGAGGCATTGTGGAAAGGTGCAGATCTTCTGCCAAAAAGCAAAGTGTTTTGCTCCTGAGTTTTACCTGAACACCAGGGTGGCTACCACACGCAAGCGAAGCAATGATCTGCCCTGTATGGAAGGTGGATATAGAGGGTCTCCTGAACTGAGACCCTGTCAGAGGGGCAGAGGCCATCTGTCCATTTTCTGCTCTCCAGCATTGATTCTCCTTCTGCTCTTGGTCCTTTTCTGTCTTCCTGTCCATCCTTTGTAGCCTATCACTTTCCTAATTCTACTTGAAAGCACCTCTCCTTTCCCTCATCTAGGCAACTAGCTGCTTCTAACTTAGTCTAAAAAAAATAAACGTGAGCCTTCTAGAATCATTTCAATCTCTGTCATTGGATTTCTGGATTGTGTTGCTTGTTTTTAAAGCAGAGATGCTGGTTAAGGGATTCTTTCTTCCACCTCTTTTTCTACTCTCCTCATCACTGACGTTGGATACTGAGGTGCAGCTATTCAAGGGCTGATCTTCCCGTTGATCCGCCTTTTTGTCCTTTACTTGCCCTTCCTCTGTAAGCCTTTTACCCTGATCTTGCTCTTTTCATCACCTTGTTTATCTGCGAGGATCTGTTGCTTTTAGCCTGATGAGTATGGAATTCACTGCCCACTTTCACAACACTTGAGCTAGGGCTGTGGTTTCTGAGCCTAGAGAGTATGAAAGTCCAAAGAATACGCTTGTGAATAATTGTAAAGCCTATATTCAGGTTCTGCAGGAGAGCTGCACTGAACAATTTCAGTCTTTGTTAGAAACTTCCTTGGGACCATTTACGGACTCATCCATGGAGTGTCAGGAAGTCACTGACTGACGTGCCATCACCTATGGGCAGTGTCGGGCCCTGGCAGCTTAGAAATGCCATTTAAAACCTTAAATTAATTTTGTGTGGTGAGAGCTGCTTCTGACCTCCTTGAACCATCAAGCTCTTAGCCTGAGCAGTTGAAGCAGCTGAGCCACAGAGTGCATTCCTGAGGACTAACCACTAATCCAGTGGTTAATCTCAATCTCTTTCTTTCTTTGCCTACACAACCCTTTATTTTTATGCTTTGCATGATGTTAGCTCTTGTGCACTTTGTACCTTGGGAGATGCTTTACTCTGCCTTCCAGGATACTAAAACCCAGCCTTGGCTACTGGGACTGGGCATTTTATGACAAATATTTATTGAAATGGTACCGCTGATTATAATAATCTCCAGGACTTCCTTGCCTGCCCTACAGTGGGGCTGAGTTTGTTTCAGCTCCAAGCCAGTGAGAGCGTTCCTGCGGAACAAGCTACCTGAGAACTTGCTTAAGAAATTCTTCCCTTTTAGCGTGGTGGGGGGAGTGCCATTCATTTTGATTGTGAAACCTTTCTTTTGTTTCTCTCTTCGCAGTTATGTGGCTGTGGGCTGCTGGGCGTGGGCATCTGGCTGTCGGTGTCACAAGGAAACTTCGCCACATTTTCTCCCAGCTTTCCGTCGCTTTCAGCTGCCAACCTGGTCATTGCCATTGGCACAGTCATCATGGTGACCGGCTTTCTGGGCTGCCTAGGTGCTATCAAGGAAAACAAGTGCCTCCTGTTGAGCGTAAGACACAAATGCTTCTTTTTGTTAAGACCAGTGCCTGTAGATTTGTTATTGTTTTATTTGAATGACCAGTGCAAAACAGTCATGTAGATCACTGTGCATTGCCCTTGGCTTGCAATCTGCCGGGTGCTTGCAGCGTGACATCCCACAGCTTTGGTCGCAGTGCTACCATTGGTGTATTAGCAAATGTGTCACTGTTACTGCCTGCCCTAATTAGTATTTATTAATTTGTATTAGCACAGCAAATTAGGGTCAGTTACTTCTGAATGGTTAAGCAAGAACTGTAGGCTCAGTCTGGATAGTCCTTCTGGAAATGTCTGTTAGAAGGATTATCTGACAAAATCTTAAGCACAGCTGCTTTTCAGTGCCGCTGAAAGCCTCTCCTGGCTATTTTTTACTTGGCCCTTACCTAAGGCCTTTGTCAGAGGTTGGTGGAAACCATCTGATCCAAAGTTAAGAAGTCAAGGTCTCTGCCTGCCTTACCAATAAAAAAAAATATCTGATCCAGTCCCAGTTTATGAATCACAGGAGCTGTGACAGTAAGGAGCACATGAGTTTTCCTTGTGTAAAAGTCTCCCTTAATGGTGTTGGGGAACAGCTGGACAACACTGCTTAGGCTGCCTCAGAGAAGGAAACTGGAGGACAAATGTGTACCTGTTTTTTGCTCTCTGCTGCTTGGTTTTGTATGTTGTACAGCTTAGAAAAGCAAACAGAGAATAGCAATGAGTCGATGTTGCTCATCCACACAAATTGCAACACCATATGATTTTTTTAATCTATTTTTTTGTAAAGAGCGTTTATATTCTTACAGCCTTCTGCAGAAGTCTTTTTATACTATCACAACTACAGTGAGTTTCTGATTAGAGAGCTTGCTGCACTGTATACCATCTCCCCCAGTGTCTGTGTGGGGGATGCCATGCTTATGTACCTGAAGGGGCTACAAGGAAGCTGGGGGGGACTTTTTACAGGGGCCTGTAGTGACAGGACAAGCGTTAACGGGTACAAATTGAAAGTGGGGAGGTTTAGATTAGATATCAGGAAGAAGGTCTTCCCGGAGAGGGTGGTGAAGCACTGGGACAGGGTGCCCAGAGATGTTGTGGATGCCCCATCCCTGGATGTCTTCAAGGCCAGGCTGGATGAGGCTTGGAGCAACCTGGTCTAGTGGAAGGTGTCCCTGCCCATGGCAGGGGGGTTGGAACTGGATGACCTTTAAGGTCCCTTCCCACCCAAACCATTCCATGATTCTATGTGGCAGTCCACTCATAAATCAAGGCAATTAGTGGGCATGAAAAGTAGCAGTGTGAAAGTACTGCTGCTCACACTTGGGATGCCCCTGCAGAGAGAGATTTCAGCTACAGAGTTGGGAATAGAAGTGCAGAGTAATATGACAACAGTTCCAACAGGCAGCCAGATATGGTTAAAGCCTGCCTCCTAGGGAATGACTCCTGAGGCACATCACGTTGATCTTCTTGTGGTAATGGGTTTAGCATCTGTTCTGCAGTCTGTGTGAAGGAAAGAGACTACCAGGGCTGTGTACTGTGTCAGCAGTCAAAAAAACAAGACAAAAATATTGCTGAAACCTGCAGAGTGGTAGTAGGACGAAACCCAAGATTTAGAGAATGCTAGACAGTGAGTTTCTCAGTGATGGTGAGACCTACAGGAGCTTTAGTGGCAGTATAGCATCAATATGCCTGAATAGTTTGAAGGCAAACATGCATTGTTTTGGCCGTAGAGGAAAGGTTTAGAGGACAAGGCCTATAGTCTTCAGTTTCTAGCACTCCCTAGTTTGCTCTATAGTTGGCAAGTGTCTATATACTATCTGTTTTTTCTTTCTTCTAGTTTTTCATCGTTTTGCTGATAATTCTCCTGGCAGAGCTGATACTACTCATTTTGTTCTTTGTTTATATGGACAAGGTAAGCAAATATGACATATAGATTAAGTAGATGTACGAGCTTGTAGAACAGGTTCAGTTTGGTTTTGTTTGATGGTATGTGGGTTTTCCTTGTTCTTCACTCTGGTGAAGGTGTAACCTTGAGATCTCAGCTGTCTTCTATAAGCTGCTTCTGCAGGGGGAGGAAGAAGTGATGAGGAGGTCAAGCAGGGGAGAAGAACCTGCTGAGCTTTACAATTTCCTCCCAGAAGTAAAACCATGGTCCAAGGCCTCCTCCCTTTTAGTAATGTCCTAAAAGCTAAGATAGCTTTCAATGTAGCTGTTTGATACCTCTGCAAGAAGCTGATCATCTTGTGAACCTGGGTTGTGGGAGGTCTCCTGCGTAAGACCTGGTTAGCTTCTTAGGGCCACCCTTGAACAGGACTGGAGGAGAGAGTCTTGGGATATTCACAGGTTATTCCAGGTGCTGTCTTCACCTGACTGAGCAGTCCCAGGGAGTTTGACAGAGGTGCAGAACAGGTCAAGAGGCAGCTTCTCATAAAGCCCATCTGTAGGAATCTGCTGTCTAGTAGAGATTAAGTCAAGTAGGCACAATTGGTTGGCCTGTCATATGTGTAACACTGGAAAAATCCTTGGGGAGCTGGAGCACTCTGCTAAACACAGGACAGAGCCTTACAGTATGAGCGTCTCCAGGCTGATTTTAAAACTGAGCTTCTACTAGATTTGTATCACTTTGCAGGTTGTCATTATGATGCCTGCCACTTAAAGGAAGCTGGGGTGAACTTCTGATTTTGAATGGGGTGTCGAAGAGGGATGAAACAGATCTTACAATATAGTCAACATTGTGCCAGGACCCATAGGTTAATCCTTTCTTGTTCAGCCTGGAGAAGAGGAGGCTCCGAGGAGACCTCATTGCAGCTTTCCAGTATCTGAAGGGGCTACAAGGAAGCTGGGGGGGACTTTTTACAAGGGCCTGTAGTGACAGGACAAGGGGTAACGGGTACAAATTGAAAACAGGGAGGTTTAGATTAGATATCAGGAAGAAATTCTTCCCAGAGAGGGTGGTGAGGCACTGGGACAGGTTGCCCAGAGAAGCTGTGGATGCCCCATCCCTGGAAGTGTCCAAGGCCACGCTGGATGAGGCTTGGAGCAACCTGGTCTAGTGCAAGGTGTCCCTGCCCATAGCAGGGGGGTCAGAACTAGATGATCTTTAAGGACCCTTCCAACCCAAACCATTCTATGATTCTATGATTCTCTGCTGCCAGCTCACTGCTGTCAGAGCCAATGTACATTCCTCCTGCATCCAGGATTCCAGACTCAGACTGAAATTTATACAAGAAAGGGGACATCTCAGATCTGCCGTTAAGCATTCCAACTTTCTCCTCTAAAGAAAGAAGCGCACATTTGAAAATCATAAAACCTACAAGCCTGTCCCCATAAGAAGAAAACAATAATGCCCTTTTCCAATTGATTTTGTGTCATGTATATATATCCTTAATTGTAGCCTGCCTGAACCTGTGCAAGGGATAACCACGTGTAGGCTGGGAGGCTGTGACTCTGGTTTTATGGCATTAGCAGATTAAAGCAGGCTGTAGGTTACAGGCAGGAGAGGCTGCTGTGGGGTATTGCCAACAGCTGTCTCTGGCAAAGTTAAAGTAGGCTCAGCGTATTTCAGCTGATTACTCTTCAGTTAGTTGGAATCAGATGATGACTGTATCGCATACTCTTGGTAGAGAAGCAGCTGTTTGGTTTCCTATCTCATGAGAATTAATTTAGTATTTTAAAAGCTGAGGGAGAGTCTAGGCCTTAGAATGTGCTGAAAGGTCCCACTGATTTGTGAGAGTCTTCATATGATGTAGATTTTCTACCCAGTGTTTGTGGTGAGAGAGGGTGAGAGAGATACATTCTGTGTGGAAGTCTGTACTATGTGGTCCTTTCCTCTGAGCAGCAGTGCATTGACTTTCTGTATTTTTTTACATGATCCAGGTCAGTGAGAGTGCAAAGAAGGATTTGAAGGAAGGTATGAAGCTATACAATTCAGAAAATAATGTTGGACTGAAGAATGCATGGAATATCATTCAAGCAGAGGTAACACATTTTCTCAATATTATAAAATAACAGTTTGGCCATTAAGGCTGCTGCAGTCTGTTAACTGTGGCATCCAGATGGCTAATGGTTTCTGATTTTGCATTCTTGAACATCCAGGGAGTACTGTGAAACCCAGGATCACAGTGTACTCTGTAAGGTGAAATACGCTTACCTCTCTCTGAGGTTCTCTGTGCCTATCACAGGCACAGAGACAAGCTGAAACAGAGGAGAAACAGCAAAAACTGCAGCTTTGGCAGCTAGGCTTTTGCCATCCAGCAGTTGTGGGAATATTACCTTAAGTTTTGGTGTTTGTGCTCATGTCTATGACAAGAAGACTTTCTTTTTCTTATGTTGTTCAATATGTGCTTTTAGTGATCACTCAGCACAAAGCACTTCAAAAATGCAGAAGTGTCATGGCATCACTTTTGAAAATATACAGTGGTTTGGTGGAAGTAAAAGTTTGGGCTGGTCCATGATTCACAAATTGTGCTAGTTAAGCTAATTTATTAATCCTTTACTTTTGCCTTAGATGAAATGCTGTGGTGTGAATGACTTTACGGATTGGTACCCAGTGCTGGGAGAAAACACTGTCCCAGACCGATGTTGTACAGAAAACTCACAAGACTGTGGACGGAACTCCACCGAATTAGTGTGGAAAACGGTATGGCTAAGGCTTAGGGAGGGGTGGGAAGGAAGAAAATAGAGGGAATGCACGTGAAAGAAAACGTGACCGTGGAGTTTCAATTTTCATCTTTCATCATTTCAGGGATGTTACGAGAGAGTTATGACCTGGTTCGATGAGAACAAGCATGTCCTTGGCTCAGTTGGGATGTGCATGCTCATAATGCAGGTAATACTGCTGTTACGTTTGTCAGCGTAGCTTTAATGTGCTATCACCATTCTTGATCCTGCTGGGTGGAGAGCGGTGCTCAACTGCTTTGCGTTTGCTCCTGATTTCAGAAATGCCAGGTGTGTTCTATGAGGTCATTTAAGCCCATATAGTCAGAAAGGAGGCAGGTCAGTAGTCAGCCCTGCAAAGATGACACACTGCAGTAGGGTTGTGCTTACCTGTGTTTTGACTTCAGAGCGTCACTTTGGAGTTCCTGTATTTAGCCATTTGTTACGCTGTCCCTTAGGGAACCGGGGTTTTAAATTTTGGAAGCAAGTTCTAGAAATTGCCAAAATGAGTCATATCGTGTATGTTAAAGGGGTTAAAAAAAAAAAAAAAGCAGAAGTATAATCATAATCTGTTAAGATTTTGGGGTTCCTTTATCACTGCTGTACTTTTGGGTGAGAATACCTAAATCTGATCTTTTCAGTCATAGTTGTCTGGCTAAACAAGCACAAGTTGTTGGGTAAAAAGGAAGAGTGACTCATATGTATTGATCCTGAAAAATTCTTGCATGATTTGCACTGTTGACAAAGAGCCCGGAGAGCTTTTTGCATCCCTCTGTGCTCTGACAGATACGGCTCTGGACATCACCGTCTGCCTGAACAACATATCTCCAAGTTTACTGCTCAGTGTTGAGGTTTGGGAAAAACGGCTAGCGTAGAATGACTTTTCAAATTACAGCTGGACCATGAACGCCGGTCAGCAGTGCAGTTTTGGCGTCCACCCTGTACTGAAGCCCTTATTGTTTGTTTTCCTTCAGATTCTTGGCATGGCCTTCTCCATGACACTCTTCCAGCAGATTCACAGGACTGGCAAAAAATATGATGCCTAAAGCCTCTGAAACATTATCACATCAACCTTTCTGTTTCACCATGAAAATGAACAAAAGGAATGACCGCAAAGTGTGTCGAGCCTATAGGAATCCGTCCCGTTGACCGATCTACTCTGTTGTTCCTTGTCCAGTTATTATCATAACTTGTTGTTTGACTCTGTTTTTTGTCAGTTTCACACTTGCCATTTATTTGCCAAAGAGGGGGGAAACCCCCCAAACAAATGGATTTTCTACACGAAATCATAGATCTGCTCTAAGAATGTTTCTTAACTGAATAAAGCATTTTGCTCTACTAATCCATGCTACATGTGCAAAAATTAAGTGTGGTCAACTTCAAGGGAGAATTCTTCAAAGTCTTCCATTAAGTTTTCAACCCTCACGTCCGATTTGTTGGAAGACTCGGAAAAGACACTAACTGTCCTAAGAACTGGAGCTGCTTTGATCGGGAGGAGCAGCTTCTTGTACCTTATGGTGTATACTTTTTTATTATGGTAATGATGATGATAATTATTATGACAGATATAGCTTAGAATTTAGTTGCCTGACTTATAACTTCTTACGGTTTTTGGTTTTACACATTTATTGTACATTAATTTGGGAACCACTGTGTGATCTCCAGAGGACATGTTTTTCAAAGTTGACGGTGCAGGCAAATGAAGACATAACTTTCCTCAAGTTCATGGGGAGGCATCGTCTACCTTTATCAGGGCTTTGATGCCCTTCCTGTAACAAAGGTGGTTCCTTTCAAATCAGAGGCTCTTTCCTCAGCTGGAATGCCTTCCCATTGGACCACATAGTGATATCCCTACTCCTGTGAGGCAAAGTTCCAATGCCTTTATTCACCAAAGCAGTGTCTGGCTGCTTTGATGCCATGCTACAGTAAAAGCTGAAAGACCTGACCGAGCAGGTTACTGCTCCCTGGTGTGAAGGAGAGAGATGGCAGGCTGACCTATGGGCCGGTTGGTAGCAGACTTCACAGACTGTGTTGTCTGTTCCAGAAAGTTTGCCCAAGGCATGGTATGCTGTGGGATAGGAGAGAAGGGGGTGACAATTTGATGGCAACATGGTCCTGCCATGCCCTTCATTGAAGGCGTTTCTTCAGGCGGATGACAGCTATCTCCCTGAGCTGGAAAAGGTGGTTTGATTAAAGGTGACCAGAGGATGCAGGGAAGGTGCAGTTTCCAAAGCAGCACTCAGAGACAGTAGATGTTATCACACCTTTAGTCCAGAATTGGTTCTTGCTGCTGGATTGCCAGGTCCATCCAGTGGGATAGTTCAGAGTTCACTGCAATGCATTATTTTTACCAACATTCCTGTTAGAAAACTTGAACCTGTATTTTTCTACTTTGAATGCTGCTTCATTGCAAGCACCCCCCAGTTACCCTTTGTTCCAGGGTTTTGCTGTTTTGTGAAGGAAGAAGGAAAAGCTCAGACATTGGAGGATGTTTGATTTAACCCCAGTCAGGGCTCAAGTCAGGTCTGGAAGCAACACTGCTTTTTGTATTAGCAGCAGTCAGCAGTGACCTTTAGAGGTTACCTCATCCAGTGTCGGCGTCAAAGGGGTTCTGTCATCTATGTGAGGTGGGTTTTGCTGTCACATTATTGGGCTGAGTTTCTGAAACTGTTGGGGATGGAGATTTTATGTCTTTCGGAGCCATGCCATGTCAAACTACTCCTCTGGTTAACAAGTTGCTCTTAATGTCCAGTCTGAATATTTATACTGTAAACTCTTAAAAGATGGCATTTTCATTGTGTCATTCAGCCTATCTTTTCCCTGTGGACTGAAATAGCTGTTGCGTCACTTCTTATCTGGGAGTTTTTCATCCCCTGTTTATCTCCCTAGTAGGTCCTGCATGCATCTCTACATCTGGCAGCAATAGTGTTTTGTGTGGCCTGTGCGTCACTTTTTTGGGTTGCTGTGAAATCAGTGTGACAGGAAGGAGTGTGAATGCGTGGTATAGAGATGAATTTGGGTGTCGTGGTGAAGAAGGAAGTTGCTATTCTTGCAGCATGGCCCTTGCCCATATGAGCACAATGCCCAGATTTTCACAGGGCTCTTGTTTCCCACTGAAGCAGACAATGCCATATGGATTCAGCTATTTCACTTGGATTGCCTTAGAAAGAGTCAGGGAAGAAGCAGAGGGAAAGCACAGAAACTGAATCCAGTTTTACTTCCATTTCTAACAAAAATTGGGACCAGGAGCATCTGAGCCCCACTGGAGAGGGACGTTCCATGTGGAAGAAGGGGCGCTGATGCCCAGTGTTCTTGCTGCTACATGTAAGACTGTATCCAAAGTTGCTGAGATGCGTTCCCATTTTTGCAAGAACGGACGATGATTTTCATCTGATGGCTCCACTGCATCCCCCCTTCAAGCAGGGGTACTTCGCTTTCTCTGGCTATCAAAAAGAGCGGGGTGCAGGGCTGAGCAGGAGCATCATCTTTGTCCTTTTGGGTCACACAGTGGTACCTGCTGCATCTTAAATCTTAATCTGCAGTCAGTTTTTGTACAAAAATGGTAAAATATATTAGTGAAAGTAATAAGGAAATAAAAAATGTTTATGAGTAACTCAGAGATGAAACGCGTAGTTGCAAACTCAGCTACTTTGCCTCCCATCCAAACTTATTTTTCTAGAATGCTTCATTCCATTTCATGATCTGGCACTGTAGATCCTGAAATCTTTTTTTCATGACTACTTTTGGCATTTTAAGCACAGTATTAAGTGAGATAGTTACACAAGCTTCATGTATTCGTCTCTGTGAAGCCACCTACAGGAAGGGAGTCAAAAGCAAGGCTGATTCGTGTCTCTGGCTGACTCTGATGTGGGAGGTGATGACAGACATCTTTAAAGGAGCAGAAAAGTAATACCATTTTCCAGGCCGTAAAAAACACCCCTGAAAAGTGTGAGGCCGCATCAGTCAGTTTGTCAGAGAAGGCACTAACTGTCCTGTGAACTGGTCAAAAGGAGCTTTGGCTCATGTATGTATGCACTTTTTTTGCTTATGCTGGTTGGTGGCTGTGTGCTTTCCCCAACTGTCACTCTGATTATTTAACTGTAAGTTTTTAGCATGATTTTAAATGAAAAAAATGATACTGGGTAAAAGTATCTTTAATATACACAAATACTGATTTATATAAATGCATACCTCTCTCTAATTCATGAAAGCACAGTTCAGGTGTATGAAAGTGCTGTTTCTCTGAGTGTTCCTTCAGATGACAGCATACCTGTTGTCTCACTGTGTTTCATGCTTAGAAGCTGCAGCAGAACTTAAGCAGGGACGTAGCAGAACTGCTTCAAGAACCTCTACTTGAAGGCTGTTGAAGTGATAGCAGTAAATTCTGTTCCCTCCTGGTGGTACCAAGGCTTGTAGTTATAGAAGCCGCTAAAAAGAAGCGCCCATAGCATGTGGGATGATAAAAACAATGGCATAAATGTCTCCAGGATGACGAGATGCCTCGTATATTGTCATGCATGGACTTCCTGGACTATGGTCGTGTTAGGCCAACTCTCAGGTCCTGTGTCCACCCTGCACCCGTACGCGTGAAACAGCAACTCACAGGCAGGAAGGGTGCAAGCAGAGGGCGGCCAAACTCATCCTCATGGCTTTCTCGGGCAGTGTGGTGGTCAGGAATAGAAAAGGCAAGGAGGAAAAGGCTGTTTTCCCAACAGATGGTTCTTGGGAGCAGCACGGAAGAGGGCAGACTTAATTCTGATGTAACTTCTTTCTATAGAGTTGTGCAGCTTCATCCTGTAGCTGGCATGGGGAAACCTGGAGACGTTTGCCTAAGGGCTAGCTCTCTGGGGTGCTGTAGCTAGTAGACACTAAGAAACAACATGCCATTCCCACCAGGTGATGTTTGCACCAGTGTTTCTTCTATGCAATACCTACTTTCGCCTTTATATAAAAGATTTTTACTAGGATGATATAAAAATAAAGGATTTTTTAAAAGGTGCCTCTTTGAGCTCATTTCTGTCCTAACCCCAACTACCACCAAACCGAGTCCAGAAAAAAAAAAAAAAAGAAAATGCAAAAGGTGACAAAAGAGATCTATCCCACTCCAGTGCTGTTGAAGTCCAGAGCTCTGGAAGGTGTTGCACCTCTGAAAAGATCTCACCCCGCCCCCATCCTCTCTCATCCTCCTTCAGAACAATAATAACACAGCAATATGTCTGAAAGATCCACAAAGAACAGCAAATTGGTTTTGAGAGCCTGGAAATATAGAGGAGAGTTTGCAAGTGTCCCAGAGGATATAGAATAGTCAAAGAGAGGACAAAGTAGTAGAGAGCTTGAAAGACATCCAGAGGACACTGAGAAGGCTCAGAAAAACTGCAGAAGTTGATTAAGCATTGAGATGGAGATAGCAGAGAGAAGGGTCACAGAATAGCCCTCCAAATGCCAGGAAAGTAGAAGATGGTCTGAAAGATGCCTGTGAAACTATGGGGCCAAGCACAAAGCAACAGAGTCTGAAAGAGATTCAGAGAACATAAAGTTGCCTGAGGGAAGGGAAGAAAGCCTGTAAGTGCCCAAGGAAACAAAATGTAGCATCTCAAAAAGGCCAAGAAAGAAACAGACAAGACAAAGGACCCCCCAGAGAATATAGAAGAGGCTCAGCCATACCAAGACATTACCAGATATATTACAGGAGCTCCAGAGTACCCAGTAGCACCAACCAGAAAGTTTGAAAGCGACCCAAAG